TAAATGTTTTGGTGCAATAAATGAGAATTTGTTTTTAGTAATCGATTTCTAAAATTGGAATATGAATCAATTAATGAAATATACTTTATTGTACACCGAAACAGGACAAAACAATCTAATAAAATTAATTTAAATGCACAATTCTTATTCAATTGGCGGCCTTATTACTAAAAAGTAATTTCTTCCTGGCAACCTTTGCGTAAAGGAAAAAAAACTGAATCTGAATTTGGGTAGCTTTTGGTGTCTCAAAAACTTTAGTAAAGTAAAAATATACATATATTTAATTAATGAATTAAATAATAAATACCACAAGAACAATAAATCATACATACATATAATATAGCATATACCTACACAAATATAGGAGATTAAGGATTCAAGGTGAGTGATAGATAGTACTCTAACCTGGAATATATTCATTTTAGTGTATAAAAATGGGTAATATAATTTCTGTTAACTATGAGACATCGGAGTAACATTTATTATCAATTTATAATTAGCACTGAATGCTTTGTTACTATAATAATAACATAACCATTTTACCCAAAAACTATACTTTTGATAAGCATTATAACCAATAATTATTATTAAACAATTAATCAAATAAATAACTAATAGAGTAGTGATATAATTATGACATGCTTTTGTTACCAAATAATGTTTTTAAAATAATATTTACCTACTGTCATTCCGTTATACACACAGCGGCACACGAAATAACTTCCCGAATTCAAATTTGAATATACATCAATTAAGGTTGGGTAGCTCGGTGGCATAGTGGCCGGTCATGGGATGGGTGACCAAAAAAATATTATCTCGAGCTGCTCCGTGTTACAGAAGGCACGTTAACCCGTTGGTCCCGGCTGCATTTGCAGTCGTTAATACCCCAATCCCGCATCGGGTCAGCGTGGAGGTACGATAGGCCATAATATCGTCCTTAACCATCAGCTGCGGTGGAGACATAAAAGGGCTGAGATCGATGTCTTCTGAGAGGGTCTTTTATCCGCCTTAGATCTCCTTAGAGATCGATTGAAGTTTTAAAATCGCAATTTCGGTTGTACAGAGAAGGTGATCACTCGGCAGCCGTCGACGACGGAGTACCTGCCGGGCATGTTGCACCTGGCGAGCCCCCCCGGGCTGCTGCCCGCCTTCCCCAGCTGGAGCCTGGTGTGCCTGGGCGCCTCCAGCCTGTACTCGCACAGCGCGGGCCTGCCGGAGCACCTGCAGCCCGGCTTCCTGCCCCACACCAACTACCTGCTGCCCTGGGACTGCGCCGTCAGGTACCTATATACTCAATATTCGCATAGTGTACCGATGGACGTAAACGAAAAGCACTTAATTAAGCATGCTTTTTCACTTGGAAGAAAAGTATGCTTATGCTTATTATAGGTTCCGCCTTCTATCGAGTTATGATGTAACTACTAGCTTCAATCAATATTTCTATGTCGGCGTTTTTTCTATTGGAGGGCAGTTTACATGAATGCACTGTATACTATTATGCGTAATATTCATCTAGACTTTTTTTTTGGTTGGTTAATCCAAACGCTTTTTTAAATGGAACTTAAAAAAACCAGTACGATTTTCGTTGTCGTAGTAGGCGTTGAAAGCTAATTCATTGCGTAAATTTAAAGTTAACTTTATTGATTGAAATAATTTACAAAAAATAGATGTTATCAATATTTTGTTTAGTTCCAACAATTTCATTTTATTTGGATTTGTAGCTCGTTAGCTTTGAAAAATATATTTATTGTTTTTATTTTATTTATTTTAGTCAAAGCAAATAAGTTAGTTTCATCAATAACTACAACACAATATCCCACGCTTATTTTAACAATTTCCAAACGTCAGTTGAAAAAAGCGTTTAAACTATAAGCCGTCTTTAAAAACGCTTATTAAAAATCGTACAACGTAACAATGCCAACGTAACAAAAAAAATCTTAAGCCGTTATTTCCACCTCTAGCACGGTGCCACACTGCCGAATAACTCGTCCTATTTACCATGACATCTGATGGCCTATATATTTGTCTTCTAAGTTCTCAAATAAAAAATCGGATCCTTATAATTTAGTTTAAATCGAATCCGTGAAGAGTATCTGTGCATTAGAGGCAGGGTCAGATCCTAACTTTGCATATGCATATCTTTGGAGGTTTATTAGCATTTCAAATATCTTCCTAATAAAATAATAATGATAAGTTTAATGTAGTTTTATTTCACTAATCCATTTTACATGTTTAGATAGCTAACATCTTAGAATAAGCTAACAAGACCTTTTAAGAAATCTCTTACAAGCATGGCAGAAAATGCCATAAGCAATAAAGTCATTTACGATACCATAGACATTTATAGATTAACACCACAACAAAATATAAACGCGTTTCTCGTTTACGGAGAAACAGAATAGGCTTTCAGGTGTCATGTTAATTCGTAAATACATAAATAAAAATTTATTGCCCACATACCCAATAACAGCTAATAAGCTTTGCCACAGTGGTGAAAAAGTCCGGCTCAGCATATATCACGACGACAAAATCTTATTGTCATGACGCTGATTTTCAGACGGAGGCTAAAAGTTGCGCGTGAGTTGTTATTTATAAGACTAAATTAAGTAAATCGACTCTGTGTAAAAAGGAGAAGATAAGAATATCCCAAGTGCATTTTTTCTAAATATGTGTTCTATCATGATTTAGAAACTATCCAATATAATCGAAATAACAAATAAAATATTTATTTTTTTAAATCTGTTGTATAACTGTGATTGTAGAATGGAGCAGGCGAGCTTGTTCCGGCCGTCGCGCGGCCGCGGCGGCAAACCGGCCGGCGCTCATCACCTCACAGTGAAGATATTTATTGGATTCGAATACGAGTGCCCCAGGGGACACAGGTATGATCACCGCTAACTGCTAACGCGCCGGGCCGCCATTTTGATGGTGTAATTGCGTCCAACAATCGGTACTAATAATTCAATGCATGTTTAAGGATTACTTTTACCTTAAATGAGTTAAATGATGTCTAGCATTACTCCATTATTTCAACTGACCTATATTATTTCGCCAGACTGCGCTCAGGTTAGCTAATTAGCATAGTTTTATGGTGACACTTTTTAAATATAAGTAACCATCTCCCCCTTTTTATTGCTAATATGGCATTCTCTACCAATTAGTGATAGTTTATGTACTTAGAGCATTCAAGCAAGGACAGTCCCTGTTTCTGGTTTTCCGTTATAGCTGGAACTTAGCTTCTACGAATACAGACTTAACGTGTCCATTATATAGAAAATTCACTTTAAACACATTATTTAAAATATTTTATCAATGAGGGCTAACGCGTTTGAATTTGCCACTAGAGGCGCTAGTGTAGCGTGAGGTCTTCAAAATGTCAAATATCATATATTTTCGGTAAACTACGCACGTTTATTTTCATATAAACGAATTCTGACGCTTTTTTTTTGGTTTACCTGAGATTCATAAAAGCAATTATGAATTACCGATCAATGAATGTCAGTGATTTAAAGCCGAAACTAAGAAAAGTAATGCAAAATTAAGCGCAAGGAAAGAAGAGCTAAATCAGAGGTTAGTTCGTGTTTATTCAGTATATTCGATTTTTTTTATGAAATGTTTTATTTATGTATTATGATGTATGATTTAAGTTCAATCTCGTAGTGAACATACTTTGACAGGACCTCTCGCGACTGCCGCGCCATCTGGTGAGCGAAAAAACCGTGGCCCTCATTGCATTGCAATAATATGATAGGTTCTGTTATTGTACTGCAAGAAGAATATTCATGAAGTTTCAAATTACGAAAAAAGAATAATGAAAAATATTTTATAGATCAAAAACAAAAAATTTGGGTACAACGCACCGTTACAACTATTACCTTGCTTTAAAACTAAATAATTCTGTAAAAATCCGAATCTGACTTCGAATTTACATCATTTAATAAATCATTGATTCCATTTTTGTATAAAAATACAAATCAAGATTGATTCATTCATACGTGTCACGAATTTTCTATTCTTATATCATTCCGAAACTCAATTCACTTATACCACGAAATGTTATTACCAATTCAAATTTGAGCGGATGCCGTGAATCTGGACACCTGAGTGTATTCAAATTTGGGTCGGGATTTTTAGATAATCGCAGGGGTGAACGAGAATAACTAAAGCTCGTCCCGGTTATTGTTTTTGCTGTATTAGGGGTTAAAATATCAAATTGCCCATTTGTACTGAAAATATAAAATGATATTTTTTAAATTTTTAACATATTTATTTAATCAAAATAGTTACCATTATTATCTATACATTGTTGCCATCTAATAGGAAGGTCATTTATTCCTTTGCGATAGCACTCTGAGGATCTAGACTGCACAGACTGTGTGAAAGCATTATATACTGCCTCCTGGGAAGTAAACTTCTTGTCACGTAGATAATTGTCCAAATCACGAAAAGAAATAGTAGTCCGTTGGGCGAAGGTCTGGCGAATACGGAGGATGACAAATGGTTTCTAACTGCAGTTCCTAAAGGGTCAAAACGGCTTGTCGCGCCGTATGAGATCTCGCGTTGTCATGGAGCAATAATGGTGAAGATCGATTCACCGGTCGGGGCTGTTTTACTGTTAGTTTTGCCAACATTGAAAATTGTTTAACCCCTATCGTATTACTATTTATTTATTACATTTTTGGAAGACTTACAGCTATACAATGAAAAATCTTATAAAACTATAATAAAGACAAAATGCCAATTAAAAGTCCCCACCATTAGTAACATACTACTCTTAATATGTATTACAATAGCCATTAAATTAATCACGCACGCACATATACCTAGTACCCAGCTATAACAAAATCGGTAGTCAATGATATACAGGTATTACATGGTACTCACAAATCGTTGAAGAACATACTGCTTAAAATACGCCTTTCCGAATCCTCACTAGTGTCGTAGTGTAGATCTAAGTTAGCCTGCCTTGATAGGTCATTGAAATTGTTAAGAGCATAAAGATGAGTGGTATACGCGGTAGGTTCATGATGTCGTCCCCGGAGTCGGTGGTGAGCGGGGGCGGTGCGGGGGGCGGGGCGGGCGCGCGGGCGGCGGGCGCGCGCATGCCGCTGTGCGCCGCGTGCCCGTGCCGCGCGCCGCACGCCGCGCCCGCGCTGCTGCAGCGGCTGCACGTGGTCACGCCCAAGGCGCCCGTGCACGTCACGCTGCAGCCGAAGGTGAGCGGCACTCGGTGTTGCCAACCATAAGAAATTAGCTAACGATAGCTCGCCAATAAAAATAGAAAACAGATGGTCGAGTTGAAGAAGCATATTTCATCACTACACACTATATTCCTATGTATGCTTAAATATTTAAAAATACGCAACGGATTTTGATTTTATAAGGAAGGTTTTATATTATATCTAAAATAAATATTCATATAATAAGTTTTACATCTAAAAATATAATAAGTTAAAATTATTTTATAGCGATAGCTATAACGTAATAATAAGTCACCGAAGGACAGTGTAGTTGTATGTCACAACAATTTGTTTTGTTATAATCAGTGGCATACGATTATAATGTCCTTTGGTTATAGCTATTATAATATAACTATTCCTATAGAATAATTTTCTTGTTTCAAACTTTTTAAAGCGTGATATTGCTGTAGTCGGGTTTTAGTTTTTGAATTTATTTATTTTACTTGTTTAATTTTTGGGTCTATTTTAAAAGTGTGATTATCGGTAATAGTATTTGCGACATACAGTTTGCTTAACCGTGAAACTTTCTACCCATGAGTACTAATATTTACATTTGCACAACTTCAGTTAGTTTACAAAAATGACTAAACCGATGTTTGTTATAATGATCTGTTTGAGAAATTAGCTAAAATGTTTGCAGAACTTAAGTAGCTCCCTATTCATCGGTGCAGGGACTTAAAGTACTGCCAACTAGCAGCGATACGAAAGGTCATTAACCCGAAAAACGATTATGGTATTGACAATGTATTATCTATCTCTTTTTATCTTGTGTATTTGTCGCAATGTCTTGTTCTCCCGGCAAAAATGTGTCAAGGTCAAAACGGGTTCGCCAACATTCAGGCGACCATTTTAAATAATAGTGATTCATTCATTTTCATTTTTGTCCTCACTGCCATAAATATTATTCTCGGTATTAAATCTCATTCTTGATAACTAATAATTCGAACTATAATTAATAAAAAATTACAGGACCTAAACTATAAGTTAACACAACAGACTTGATATACCTCGCTGCCATGCCTATCCTTTTGTGTATTATTATTCGAATTTCAACTCATTGTATTTTTATTGATAGATTTTTAGAATAAAAATTAACTACACTGAATTTTCAGGTCCGGCGGTCCGATTTTTTCCGGTCCGGAATGACATGAAAAACTCGGATGAGTAGCTTGTGCACTTGTCCGTTTTTTTCCTGATCGGAGCGGCGCAGTGTAGGGCAGCTCTCTTTGAAACTACACGTCACTTACGCTAGGTACGATGAGATTTTTGGAACGTCGGTAATTCCGTTCGAAGACGTAGAAAGGTACCTAAATAATGGTCTGATCGTTTTACATAAACCATAATAAATTATGGCAAGACGAAAGCATTTTTTTTACTACTATCGGATGACTACTATCAGATGTAAAAACTTATACCCTTACTAATTTAGGAACAGCATTATTCACATACAATAGCTAAAAATATCTGTGACATTAGAATAAAATTACTGATAATGGTCTAGTACTTGATGTTTAAATTTTTAAACGTGCTAGTTTTTTTTGAAGTTTTGTAAAAACAACTTTCAGCGATTACAGAGATAGACCAATCGGTGGCGCCATTTCGTAAACAAATCGAAATTAGTGCCGTGTCAGCGGAGAATTATTAAGCTAAATGAACTTTACGAGATCAGTTGACTGTATTATTTATAGGCATAATTTTATACGCGTGGTGTAGTTTCTTTGAGCAGAAATATTATTCCCTTAGAATACTTCTTTTTTTTTTAAATTTATTAATGACACAAACATACATATAAAATTTTATTAAATACGAAAAAGACATTGAGTGTCACTTAATTACTTTTGTTAGTCTTCTGTTTATTTTTTATTATTACTCCTGTTGTCAAATATTTATCTATACTTATCAATTGTCTAAAAAAATTTGATAATGATATTTTAAAATTTGATATACAATTTTTCGGGTTAAAATGTAGCCTTTGTCCTTTCTTAAAGTTAAGTCTATTTACTATATTAATTTCCATTCAGATGGGTTCAGTTGTTTATGCGTCTAAGCGTAACAACACTTATTTATCTTACCTTAAGCCATCGATACTTTTAATACGATTCTAAAATCTAACTAAGTATCGATACTAGAACCATACGCTGATCAAAATAGAACTATACCGAGTTTGCCAAAGCATATGCAGTGATATATTAAATCATCATATAAAATATAGCATTTTATAATCAACAATAAATATCGATTATAAGTTTATTGGAAATTAACAATATTGCCGAAATAAATATCGATTCAAATCAATTATTTTTTCCCAAGCCTATTCCTTATGAATTTTCCGGATCGCGGTCACAGCAGTGCACAAGCGTAAACACGTTTTTCATTGCCGCCATCACGGACCTGAAAAAACCGGTCCGGAATAGAGAAAAGTAAAATTCCGGACGGTAAAATTCCTGACAGTGCACAAGCGCGCATTACCTACATATGGCCTGACATATCGGACCTGAAAAAATCGGACCGCCGGACATGAAAATTCGAATAACATTAACGTCACAAACACCGACCAAAAGAGGAATCCCTCGAGGTTCATTATTAGGTCCTATACTCTTTATCGTGTTCATCATTTCATTGGATACAAAGATTTGATTAATGAATTCTCGCTTGAATTATCTCAGATCCAACCGGTTCCCGGCGGGCCCATATTCGTTCCTATGCCGGCGGGCTCGCCGCCCATCAAGCTGTCCGCGTCTGCGTACTGGGTGTTGAGGTTCCCGCGCGTGTACTGCGACGAGCGCGGCGTGCTGCCCCGCCCCCGCTCCCTCCCCGCCGCCGCCACCGCTGCCCCGCCCCCCGCGCCCGGCACACTCATCGCACCTATATTCGGACTGCAGGACTAACAGTTCACACTAGTACTACGTAAGCAGAATTTTAGTTATATTAATGACGTGAAACACGAAGGGATATCTTTAATTTTGTTGAACCTGTTATTTAAGATAATTTAATGATAAGAAATTAATATTTTTTTAATTAAAATACACTAGTTCTATAATATGTAACTATAGTCGGCACTCGGGAATATCTCATAAAGTAAACAGAGATTTTTTACCAAATGAACAAGAATTTGAGTGAAATAAGAACTGTTGATAATGAGAATACTGTGGTCATTTACTATTTATTAACAGTTAGATACGAGTGTTAAACTTCACGTGTCATCAGAGGAAAGAGAGTTTCAAAATTGTGAAGTCTGTAAAACTATAATATATAGCGACTTCTACGCCCATTTCGTACCTAAGATATCTATGCCCGCTCACATATAAGTGTACCTTCACGAACGGCATCTTACTTCTGTTAGTTCAAACGATTGAAGATGCACTATAGAATGGCGAAAATTGTGTAGAGTTTTTTACTACTTGTACTTGTTGAATTTGTTTGTTTGCGAACGGTGCACAATTATCGACGTGTGGAAGATGCTTAATATTGTTTTTTCATACTTAAAAAGCTGGGTGTATGACACTTAAATTATATTGTAATAAAATACATAAAGTAAGATCCAATTAATATGGCGTATGGTGTATCTTCGTTTGTGCAAAGCAGATCTACCAACTCCGAAGATAACTGAAAGTATGATTAAAATTTATATTGATCCTTGTTTCAATAATCATAAGATGTAAAATCATTCTTTTGAAATTAACCTTCTGTTTATTACATCGGTGAACTATATTAGTTGTATCTCACTGTACATGTACTTCAAAAGTGAATGGAATTTATGTACTTGTAGTAAAATTGAGATATATAAATCTTTCCTACTTTCGAGCAGAACAAGATTTATAATAATAACATTGGACTTCTGCAAGGTAACGCATGATTCTCGTTTGTAAATTGTAAATATACTTCAAAATATTATCTCTGGAGATTTGAATAGACTTTTTGTGTTTAAAAACAAATCTTTAAATCAATTCAAGATCAGAGCAGAAGCTATAAAGGTTTCTCAATCGAAACAATGTATTTTCTTTTTATAAACTACATTTGGTGTACAATTGTAAGAATCAAAACAAAGCTTAAGCTTAGTGTGGATATTACTAGGCTAATAATAAGGATAAACGAAAATTTGTCGATGTCGTATATTAGACTCTATGGTGCTATACAAGTAACAAATTTTGGAATAGCGTTACACTTGGTATTGTTAACCTGTTAAAAGATGGCCGTTCGAATTCAGACTCCGGATGCATTCAATCCCCTTTCATCTCAATAGTAATTAAATATGATCTGTGATATTTGAATTCGTGCGACTCAAAACTAATCTCCCAGCCTAATATGAGCGCTCTTATCGACACACGATGCGCTATTAAGTGCTACTAGCTCGCTCACATTTGAGCAGCGTGAGTGAGACAGTATTACTTAGTTTACCATATGTTATCACGTGATATGTTAATGTTAAAACGGCTGGATGAGATTCTTCGATAACGACCAACCTCGCTTATTTACGCTCACACTATCTAGTGAGTAGAAGTAATTTCTTAAGTCACAGTAATGTTTTATATGAATAGACGAGAATATTAATGAAGTAAGACTAATAGGTTTTTTTATTATTTTTTTTATTGTTGCACGACAAAGTTACTGTAATATACCTGGTGGGAAGTGATATTACAGTCTAATAATAGTCGCAGCTGTCAGAAGTCGAAACTACTCCCGGTAGCCACCACTATCTTGCCGGCCTATTAAAGAGCCTGTTCACACCTCTTTTGAGGCACCTAAGGTTATATTTAATTGGAAAAATGTGGGATGGGAGACTATTACACATTTTAATGGTACGGCAAATATATGATTTGCCGATTTTTTTTGTATGAGATGGTATAGTACAAACAGTCTGGGACTGGCAGCGAACACCGGCACGTGTCAACCTGTTACGGAAGGAGGAGGGGGGAATGGTGTTGAATAATTCCTCAGAGCACTCTCCATGATAGAACCGGTAGAACACACTGAGTGAGGCAATATCACGCCTCATTTGCAGTGGATCAAGATTGTTGGTTAGCCCCTCATCGTTTATGATGCGTACTGCTCGCCGCTGCAGCCTGTCTAGGGCATCCAACAGATATTTTGGGGAATCATCCCTAAGATGCGAACAGTACTCCATGCTAGACCTGACCTGGGTTTTATATAAGTGAGTAAGTTAATAGGTAATAATAATAGTATTCTAACTATTATCACTTCTTACTTCATTCAAATTCTTGTTTATTTGGTAAAAATATCTGCTTAAAATATGACATATTCCCAAGTAGTTACTTCTCTCGTATCTATAACGAGTGTTAAAAGTTTGCTAGAATTCAATAGGCATTGGAATCATAGTGAACAACCAAGTTTAATTCGCAATTAATAAAGCAATTTTACTTGTCGTCTTTGCAATACAAATGTCTATTAAATCTATGGCAGTTGTGGTTAATAAATGAATAAACAAACATTAACTAGTTTTTCACTTATAACCTTTTTTCGTTTTGTATAGTTTTTGTTTTCATGAATTTTTAACTCAATAATAAACAACTGTACGATTGTTTATCTATCAAAGACACTAGACGTATTATTAAAACGAAATTATGTTTTAGTACCGGGTTTAAATTTGAATACCAACAAAATAAATCGAAACATCTCAACTTGATGTTTTTCTCTGTTCTCTGTTGTCGGTTTTAAACCAAGTACTAAGTTTAGTCTTCGTTTTATAATAAGACGGTGTCAGTTTATAATTTGTTTCTTTAATAAAACCTTTTAAAATGAAGTATTAAAACAGTTGTATAACAGAATCGCCATCGATAGCGTCAATTAATACTTATACGGACAGTTGCACATATGTCTATTAAGGTTTAAGACGCCTTTAAGGTCTAATGGGTGTCATATTTGGATGGGTAATGTCGCTTTAAACTTATGAAAATTTTAATGATTGTTTGTGCAACTGGCTAATAGTTGAACAATCGTCGCGCATCAGTTTCTAATCGATGGTTTTTGTGGGAGGAAAAAATGGGGAACGAAAGGTTTTATAAAGGCAAGCTGATGGTTACCTTGAAGAGTTCGTACATTAGTGGAAAAATATCCCAGAATACTAGTTAACTTTAGAGACAGAGGGTATAATAGCCAGTTGCACAAACGTCCATTAAGGTTAAAGACGACTAAGCTCTAATTGATGTTCTAAATTTGATAATGTTGTATGGGTGATGTGATCTTAAACTAATGACAATTTTAATGGACATTATGCAACTGGTCAGTAGCATAGGCTATTAAAATATAAAATGAAGTTTATGATATACATCATATATTTAATCTCATCGAGCTCTATGTCTACGTATCATTATAAATATCGTCAGTTTATAATCATACTAGATGTATAACATAGCCTATGTTACTCACGTATAATATAGCTTCCCTAGATGAAAAAAATTTAAAATCATCCAATATTTTTGGAGCCTTTTCAATGCAAACAAAGAAATCTTTCCTTTTTGTAATATAAGTAAGATTAAGATATTAGTATACTTTAATCTAACTTAAGTAGCTCGGTGGCGTAGTGGATAAGCGCAGCGGCCTTGACCAGAAAAATATATCGAGCTACTCCGTGCTTCGAAAGGCACGAAAAGCCGTTGGTCTAACGTGGAGGTTCATGGCCTATCCTCCTTGACCATAAGGAAGGCCTGAGCTCCTGCTGTGGGGACGTAAAAGGGCTGATGATGAATCTAAACTAACCCAAACCTTTACTAATATTATAAAGTGGTAAAGTTTTCACTTTGTTTGTTTGTAGGGGGTTTTATTTCTTTCACCTATGGGAAACTACATCCTACGCGACTATAATTTACGCAGGCGAAGTTGCGGGAAATTTTATAATCTACCAAGAAGGATTTTAACCCGACAATCACAATTTTTACGTTAAGAATGAATGTAAGAATGTTATTACAATGATATTCCGTGCTTTGTAACGCACGTTCAGCTGCAATCTACAGTCATTTATTCCGCTCTGGGCTCGAGAGCCCGTTTTCCCTATGTTTCAAACATATCGAAGGCGTGTCCCAGCAGCGGGGTAAATTAATTACACTAATAATGACGACAGTTAATAGTTTTCAGCCATTAACATTATATTTAAGAAGTATATGTACGTATAGGTATAATTAGTATTTTATAAAAAAAACAATTTCTATTCATAGATTTGATGCTATTAATTAGACAACATAAGTAAACATTTGTAACAAAATACCCAAAGAGGCATTGTGGGAATATTTATCAACACCCAAACAAAAAACAAATTAGTTTACTAAACTATTGCAAGGAATAAGTAAAAGTTACTTCCGGTAAAACATTTCCTGTTTCAATTTACTAAAAGTATTGAATTTGTCTCGCCGAATTCCAGTGCTACGCATGCGCCCTCTACCGACACGTAGTTCCTTCATGTTGCGCGGGAAATCTTTTTTCATTAACTTAACTTTTGATTAAAGAATTAGATAATTTATCGTAAATTTTATAATTTTAAAATCAAATAATTACTTGTTAAAGTTTATCTACAGATAATTAATACATGTGGAATAAAAAAATAATGTAAGTTCTAAAACGACACGAACTTTAGTGGGGTGGGGGTGGTAGGGGAAACATGTAGAGAGGGGGCACACGCCGCTTCTTGGTTCGCGGTGGGTTCGGCCGACGGCAGTATGCTGTGCGCCGTCGCCGCGCGAACAAGTGAGCCGGAACTTTAGTCGTTTGACTGCAAACTACGATCGCAACTTTGGAAACTTTTGCGGCCCTTATGCCGCTCTTGCATCAGGTTAGTGAATTTGCTGTATTTTTCAAGATTTTGCCAATGCTTTCCTTTTCACTTATTTTTAAAAAAATTTTAAGTAAACGATTGCAGTGATTTATTTTTATGTCGATAATTTTTTAAAGAGCGCCTTCAGGTTTTTTTTAGAAACCTAATGTAGCCTTAAATGCTTTCTCTTCTGTTACTTATACTGTATTATAACTATATTGTTATATATGGCTAATAAATAAATTGAAATTTATCGATATTCAGAAAGTTTGGTAAAATTTCCAACTACCCTACTAAATTCTAATTATCGACCAGGACGATAACCGCGGTGGCGGTGTGCCCGGTGAGAATCGGCGTTCGCTTACGGAGTTCTTGGGCCTGGACTCTACGCGCCTCGGCGAAGCCGCTCTTGCCGCCACCAACCATCGCAGCAATGTAAGTAGAATCTTATCGAGATTATTTGATCTGTTTGTTTGCTTAGACTACAGCTATCATCCATCTATATTGCCGAACGTTAAAATTTCATTTGAATTATAATACGTGAGAAGTCTTAACTACCTTCTTTTTTTTTGCAATTTCTTAACTTTTCTTTAATGTAAATTGGATGAATAGAATTTGTATTTAAATGTTTATGGCAGACATGAATGCTGTAAAACCTTTTTTTTTAATTATTAAATATTCATCACGAACCTAATTAACTCTTGAAACAACGAGTTGGGCGCCAGGTTTTTCTTATAGAACATCTTTATTACTAAAGTTAGTCCTTGCTTCATAGCAGTTTTTTCTTTATTAGAAAACTCTTTAAAATCTATTAAGATTTAGTATTGAGATTATATTACCATTGCCTATGATGGTTTTACCAGTGTTTATAAATCAAATGTTAAGTGCAGCGGGAACGTTTTGTCCGCTCATAGCGTAGCGTACGACATCCGGTTTGATGGTGGGTAATGTGGGTAGCGGCGGGGTGCCAGCGCGGGTAATGCGAGCCGTGTGCCAAGTGTCCGCCCGTTGCACAGCGTTTGCATTAGCTTGTATCACTGCTGTGGTTATGTTGCATGCACACTTGTATGCTTATATTTGTCGGATAACTTAAGCTTTTGGACAAGGTAACGTGTTTGTGGCCGCTAAAGTTTATTCAAATTAATATTGAAACTGAATTTTATTTTAGTTTGGTTTACTCTAGAATGTGTAAATATCACAGAATTTCCGAAAAAATACTTTTTTTTGTACAATCTAAACAAATGCATTTCTTCAATCTCTTAATGGTGTTGTAGCGAAATTGATAAACTCTCAAAATGTCTCATTGTTAGTACTTTAAATGTCTCTAGTCACCCCTCCATCCAATAAATCTCTTTAGAAATTAACTTTAAAAATATTGTCATCATAATGGGTGTAATAAATGTGTCGACTCTTCTCTTGCCAAGAGCATAGACCCCTATAATCGCGGCATCTCAGAAATCCCAAACAATGTATAGAATAAGTATGCAATTGTGCACTTGGCAGGCGTCTGCCCGCGTATTGCCGGCTATTGGCATGAGACTGGCAATTTAATATTATTTGTGTAGGCTCATGCCAAGGCTGTATGGCATGAGTTTAATCGGGCGGGGCGGCCCGCGACCCGGAAAACTATCTTGAGTACAGATGTTTTTACATGCTTCTTGATTTTGCAGCGGATTTTCAGTTAAGTTATATCATATCGCGTTCGACGTTTCAATCCTTAGGTTTTCGGGATAGGCTGCCAAATCTTACATTAAAAGTTTAATTACTTTTATTCTTGGCTATTCTTTTTAAATCCTTATCTATTGAGTTGTCTCCATGGCTCATTAAAAACTGTTACAAAAGCATTTGTATTATTGAAATCTGAAACTACGAAGGTAAGATGCCCAGACCTGTTTGGGAAGCGAAACCTGTACCACGGAGACCTTTGAAAGCAGCGTGCGAGCTCTGCCAGGGAAACTGTCAAAAAATGTATAGATATAAAATAAGTTGTTCCCGTCGCTGATCAGACTTGTATATTTTAATGGTATTGGTTCAGGAAGGGGGCGGCGAGAGTGAGTGGCGGTGGGAGGAGCCCGGTAGCCCGGAAGTGGCGCATACTCCGAGAGCTCTGGTGCCCCTCGGCTGTTTCCCGCCAAGACATCCGCGCACTTATGCTAGTTTCAGGTGAGTACAATAACTAACTTAAAACTTAATCCAGCATAGAGATTCAACTAAATCAATAGTTTTCTTCACAAATTTCTTACAGAGCCAAAATATAAATGTCTGAATAGCTAACGAAATTTTGTTATATCTGGCGGCTGACAATAAACTTTCACAAAATTATGGTAACTTGGATTTACTTTCTTTAGAGTACGGTAATTGTTACAATAACGATCAAAGATCTTGAATAGTAGCTATTAGGTCCGTGACCACCCAAACCAAGAAGTTATTTTTCAATTATTTAACACTTGTCGTTAACCTAACCCAAAACCTCTGAAATAGTAAAGCTGATCTGCCATGTGTGACTGTTATAATATCCGGACAGTATACTAATGGTACAAATTAATTCAATTATGGGGTATATGGGTAATCTCCTGTGTTTTTTTATTCATATTGATCGCCTTTAGGGCATGGTAGTTTTATTTTTTATTTTTCTTGTCTCTTGTTCAATTTTCACCACATTCAGTGTAGTCACAATATAGTATCAAAGTTTTCTATCATAATTTCTTTCGCGAAACCTTTTAATTTGTTTTTAATAGTTAAAAGGTCATTTGAGTTCTAACCAGTATTACAGTAGATGCTTATATGTGAATCTGGTCCGAATAACAACCTTCGCACAGACTGACACTTGTTGACCAATGGATTCTCCTCTCCATAGACTTCTTGTTAAACTAACTTCGTACCGCCTTAGGTATAGTTGACTAGTTTTTTCCCGCAACTTCGCCCGTGTCTTCCGCATATTATGTAGTTTCTCGTAGGTGGAAGAATTTTTAAAATCTGACCAATATTTGAGAACTTATAAAATGCAAAAAAACAATCAAAAATTTCTTATTTATAATATAATGTAGCTTCATATTGGTGAAAGATATTTTACACAATTTGTGACTGTGCTATTCGGATAAACAAAATAACAAAATCGGACATTTCCTCAGTTTACTTTGTAGAATTTTACATTAACTATTCACTCTTTGTATATTTTTAAAATAAAACTTGCGCGTAATTTAAATCTAGAAAATCTCTTTAAATACCAATGTATGTTTTTACATTGTATGTAACTATTAGCTAGTTGCACTAACGTTCATAAAATTTTTCATTAGTTTAAAGCGACATTATCGGATACAAATTTGACATACCTTACAGCTTAAAGGCGTCATTTAACCTTAATGGACGCTTGTGCACCTGACCGTATAGAACTTTGGAATCTTGTTTGTTAAAAGGTGGAAGGAACTTGGTCTACTTAAAAATAAGCAACACCACATTTGAGTTAATTATTTTTTATGGATATTGGTTTTTGAGATGTCAAAAAGGCTAAATTTCCTATACTTAACTACTGTAGGTCACTTGATAGATATAGTCGAGGATATTTTTATCCAGACCATAAAATCTCTAACTTAAAAAAAGGATAATTCAACAAATTAAGATTTCAAAGATTATTTCCTTTCTTATCCTTTTATTTACTTAAAAAGAAACCTTCAGGTTACTTATAAAATAAAATAGATTTGTTCAGAATTATAATATAAGTGAAGTTGTAATTTTATCTTACTCCGGTTCATGAACAAGTTTTCCGTATCATATTGCTACGCTATAATGTATAGATTGCTATTACAATATGCAGGCATGTCCTTAGTAGCTATAAGGTATAATATAGCTACTAAGGACATACTATGTTAGACTTAATACTAAAAATATCGCAATATCAAAGGTTATTTTAAGTAGCGAACCGTGTACCTTAATGTGCCAATTAGCGTAAGTGCGATTTACTAAATTTTAGTGGATGTCTTTTGCAGCGAGAGCGCGCGCCCTGGCGGCTGGGCCGACGATGCCGGCCAAGGAATTACAGACCTTGTCGCCTCTTTAGTAAGTACTAGTTCAGATGATTAAGTTAGACATTCGCGTTCAATTTACTTTGAAATTATTTTTAATTAGCATACATGACACTTTCTTGTTTATTTTTGAACGGTATTTTCTTGTTGAAATGAAATGTCAAATTCTATGTGGAGAAAGTAGCATTTACAATAGAACCCTCGAAAAATTAATCATTCAGTATCTTTCAAAAAGTACTCTATCTCTATCACGTCGTTGTTGCGTGAAGTTTGTGAATATCGTAATTTTTAAATTATATAAAAGGGAATATGCACGTTTTTTTATAATTTACATCGCTATATAACTATAAAAAATACGCAGCATCGAATAACTTAATTCAATGACAATAAAAATTGATGTAAATAAGTCACAACTAAGAGCGATTTAAACACCGGACTCATTGGTGCGCTTGTCGTGACGTCAAAGTACACTACTAGAGATGTGACATTTTAAAACGATATGGTTTTTGAGTGATTATAATTCAATTGCCCAAATCCATTAACAAATAGATTTTTTAAAAGTATGAACTTAAATATTGATCATATAGTTAATAATAATATATAAGGGTACATTTCCGTCACATCCGCTCTGACAAGAGTAGCATGGCGTTTGAATATTGTGAAGTATTTTTTCGCCCTTTTTAATAATTATTTTCAAGAAGAAAGCGAACTAAAATTAGAAAATATTTGCTTTTTTTCTAAAATATGTATAACACTTTTTTGAATCGGACGCATATTCCCTTTTATGCCCCTGGATTGTATGGTGTGTTAGTGGTAGATGTGACGCGATGCATTGTTTCAGAAGGCTCTGGCCATGCCGGCGGGGAGCGCGCGCCCCGCGCACTTTCAGTCTAGACTCAGTCTGGATTCTTTCGACAATGGACCAAGTGTAAGCAACTCTTATATACACACCACTACTGCACGCCAGGCTACCACGATGTGGCAAATTTTTAATCAAATCAAATGGAGAAAATTTACACGATCTGCCGGACTTTCTTTTGACTGTGCAGTTTTCATCACTTCCACTTATATTAAAAAAAAATATATTAACTTATTTGTCTGTCAGTTAGGCAAATGAATGAAGAATATATATTTTTGTCAATAACGGCGACGCATGGAATTTTAGTTATTGTGCGTTTCAGTATTTTCAGCTATTTCTTGTTAAATTGAAGCAAAATAAAAACTATTTTCTAATATTTCTCAGTTATCAAACTCGCTAATCAAATAGAATGTCTTTTTACTACCCAGGCATTATTTCTATTGTAACTATTGATGGATAATCATAATATTCAGATTTTAGTTGATTTAATGCACTTGTTCAGGTATGTTTTTGTCATAAAGAACGATGTCTGAATTTATAGATTTTTACGTCTATTAGAGTTAATGGACTGAACTATGTTTTCGGTTTAATTTAAATTAAAAGTTTAAACCGTTGATGGTATTAGGTTAATAAAACAACTTATCAATACAGAAATGATAATATTTAGTATTGAAAAAAAAACTTCAAATTTTAGTAATTAAAAATAATTCTATAATTTCTCAATTGAGGAGAAAATTCTTTATCTTCTATAATTGTTTTTTTTTGCGCATTTCGCACAATTCTGCCCATGTCAAGTGAATGAATAAATTTCTACATGTAAAATGAAAATGATGAAAGATGGCGAATCGCTTTGATGCTAAATCTTCTATCTGTAGTTTGATTAAAGTATACTCTTCTGCTCTGCGTGCCAGTCTTTTGAACTTTAAGATATTATCTATGAGACATTTTTCCTTGAAAATATAAGTAACTTTTTCCTTCAGGAGTCTCCGTGGCCACCCGAGCAGGCGAGCACTGCCAACGGACGAGATGACAGGGTTCTGTCGCGACGCGCTTCATTCTGTATGTATTTTTAGAGACCATACTTCTAGAATGTTCATCGTAGACTAATTCACATTGCAAACGTTTAATTTTATTTTGATTACATCAAGAATTCAAATTTGTGTAATGTTAATAGGGATTCTATATAGACATATAACATGGATAAGATTTCTGTTTGAAAGAGTATACCGTATCCATGCTGACATTTTTACAAAATCTATATTTATATTACCAGAAGACGCCATTTGAAATTTTCTTTTTGTTGAATGGCTTTTTTAGTTAGTTTTTATAAAAAATCTTGAGATTCCCTCATAAGTTCATCTTAATCTGATAACCTTTTTTGACATATGCATTTAAAAATTTATACTGTAATCTCTTCTAAATATTTTTGTTGTCATAAAAAAATGTATGGGCATATAAAACCTGAATTCATTTCTAATAGAGATAATCGATTTTGAGATTAATGTATAAAATGGGATTTAAGAATATTATTTATTCATCAACAAGATGAACCTGATTCAAAAAATGAGAATATTTTATTAGAGCTTAGTTTAACCGTTTGTAAAAAAAAATAACAAACTTTTACCGAATACAAATTTCGATTAAAACGATATTATCGATTCAATCCCTATTACACTTTCCAATTTTCTTATTGAACTAGAGTCTGATTTCAAGTCATTACTATGAAAAATTAATTGTTTTAATATGCAAGTTTAAATAAATATGTGATCTATACACAGTCAACATTTTTTTTATAACAATGTTTTTTAAATTACTTGGAAATACAAATTACGCGAAATGGGTTTGTTAACAAACTTACGTGAACCAGATTTGGTGATAGTCCGCTTATTTGGTGTGATCAGGCGGGGTGGGCGCAGTGGCGGGGTACAGTGGCGGAGTGGGCGGAGTGGCGAAGTGGAGCGGGACGCTGCCGGCGCGCTGCACGGACCCCAGCTCGGGGTACTCCGCCAAGGTGTTCCTGGGGGGACTGCCCTGGGACATCACCGAGCACGCGCTCATGCACACGCTCGGCCAGTTCCAGCCGGTGCGGTCAGTGCATATTGTTTTAATAAGCTCTCGTTTTGTAGTGCCGTTTACAATTTTGCTGACGGTATCTCTTTTTATACTAACCCTTGAACATTTCTAAGATTCAGGATTCATTGCGATGCAGTTTACATCGTCATTTGTTGTAGTTCACGCGTGCTGAGCGGGGTGGAACTTCGCCGATACTAATTTAATGCTATGTTATAAATTCGAAGTTATGTTATGAATTCGTCCGCGAAAGTTCAATCTTTAGATAAAAATATTAAGAGTATATATAGTAGATACAATGAACTGTATAACCGTATGTAATTCTGTCACATTTGAGTAATGTCTGATGTGGTTAGATCGTATTGATAATAAAAATTGCTACATAATACTTTTCATCTGCAACTCTGTTTAAAATATCATATGATGGAGGGTCAAAAGTTAATTATCTCTAGCTTTTCTGTGCTTCGGAAAATGGATGCAGCTTGCGCGGGTGATTCGATAAGATTTATTTCACCCATGTAGAAAGCTGCAGCGGTGACATTAATAGGGTTATAAATTTACAGTGTGGAATGGCCGGGCCGCGAGTGTGGCGGGGGCGCGGGCGGGGGCGGGGGCGGCCCCCGCGGGTACGCGTACGTTACGCTGGAGAGCGAGCGGCGCGTGCGCGCGTTGCTGGCCGCCTCCAGGAGGGACGGGAACGACTGGTACTACCGCGTCGCGTCCAGGAAGATGCGCAGCAAGGAGGTATCGCACTAGCTGTACAATATACTAGCTTAAGCCCTAGGAAACTGTTTATTTGAATATCGATTTTAATAGAAATGAATGTTGGCATATACCTACCACCGGCTTGGGAACCCCTAATTAGTCAAATAATAATCTCGATCTAGATCACATATTGCAAAACCAAAAGATACAGTTAGTTCATTCTGTTAATATTAACTCAAAGGGAGCAATTCAGTTGTCATAGTTTGTTTCGCCAGTTCTTCTCAGACAAGTCTCGCAAATTTGGAATCGATTGCAGATTACGGTAGCCAGGGGTAATTGAATAAGTCAAATTTATTTTAAAAATAATATACTAAATGTAAATGTATATATTGTATTGTGAATGTGTCCATTAGTATTGTTTTGAAGATAGCTATACTCTTAATTAATTCTTACGTAAACAAGGGTCCAAAACGTCAATAAAATTTAACACCAACGCGATGGAACAGTTGACAAGTTGTTTCATTTTCTATCGCTAGTTACTTCGTGCTTCGGAAGGCACGTTAAGCCGTTGGTCACTGTTTCATTCGCAGTCGTGTTGGGCCAGCATGGAGGGTTCGTGGCCCATCCACCTTTACCATCCATAAGGCCTGAGCGCCAGAAGTGACGACGTAAGAGCTGATGTTTGGTTATTTCTTCTATTGTAACTGAATCTAATTGGACTTCTCTGTATGAAATAAACGGACCTTAAGTTTTGCACCGGTTTTTGTTTTATTACAACTCATAGCTTTCAATCAACAATGATAAATTTTAATATACTTATATCACTTGTCTTTTTCAGGTGCAAGTGATACCGTGGGCGGTATCCGACTCTAACTGGGTCCGTGGCGGCTCGGCCCGTTTGGAGCCAGCGCGGACGGTATTCGTTGGTGCTTTACACGGCATGCTCAGCGCCTCCGCATTGGCTCTTATTATGAACGATTTGTTCTCCGGTGTTGTATACGCAGGTGAGCGATTTTAATTTCCAACCTTAAACTACTTTAACGTAGAATTTAGATCAGTTACAGGACAAAACGCCCAAGCCCGGTGCAAATGAAATGTAGCTTATATTATAGGTATAAATAAGTTCGAATTTTGACTGGGGTTATTCAATGTTCGAATAACAATGTCGCACATTTAGCTATCGATTTTGAATTTGCCCCTATACAGAATTTACTTCTTTATACCTCATAATACGAGTAACATTTTTTTTTCCGCCAGACCTTGCTTTTATAGGCATTATCCTTTTAATTTTCTAATACCCTATTTAATCTTTGCCACTATAAGTTTTATGCTATAAATTTCTGTGTGTCGTAAGACTTGTTTAAATATAAAGCACGCATGTTTTATATTGAAAATTATTATTTGTGCATCACAAGAATTCGATTAATGATGTAATCTACCTATATATGAACAGGTATCGATACAGACAAGAACAAGTATCCGATCGGATCTGGTCGCGTCACCTTCAATAACGTGCGCTCTTACGTGCGCGCCATCTCCGCCGGCTTTGTGGAAATACGCACCGACAAGTTCACTAAAAAGGTACGAATTTGAACCTTATTGCGAACTCTTTAGAATGCTATACTTATCGGCAGTTTCGAGTGACAATGTTTTCCTTTGGCTTTAGATTTTTTTAAACTTGTGTATTATCATTCAAAATTGTTGGTGAAGGAATAGTTTATTAAACAACTTCTAATATTTTCAAATATTTATTTGAAATTTCCCATGTTAGATTTGTTAAAGTAAATTTGCTATATATTTTGTTATAGGTACAAGTTGACCCATATTTGGAAGACTCGATGTGTTCGGTTTGCAATCTGCAGCAAGGGCCCTACTTCTGCCGCGAGCCAATGTGCTTCAGGTAAAGTTTATTTTTAAGACTTTAAAAAAGTTCTAAACTAGTTAATTTAATGAGAATTTGGTTTTATGAGAAAGGAAAAGGAAGGCTGTACTACGATACGAATACTTAATATTTTCTCTTTTTTTATATTTGTAACGCTTACATTTCAAAACCAAATATTAGCCAAATCTGTTCAGCCGTTCTCAAGTTTTAGTGAAACTGACGTTTTATTTAAATAAAACTACTTTAAACCATTTATTTCATCGAGGATATATTTTTTTTCAGTTTCAAGTAATTTTATTTAATGAATAGTGCGCGTGAAATTCTAAGAATTCTGTTTATTGTATGGCAGGTACTTCTGCCGGTCGTGCTGGATGTGGCAGCACTCTAGCGAGGAGCACAAGCCGCTGATGCGCAACTCCAAGTCCGGGCCCGTGACACTAGCCCCCGCCCCCGGTACCGCGCGCGCCCTTCCCCCACCCCCTCACCCGCCCCAGCCCCCACCAGCGGACCACTCTCTCTACCACGCGCCTTACCACCTGTCCAGCGATGGTATGTATTGTAACGCACCACGTTGGGCGCCAGTTATAACTGGTTCGGACTAGTTTAGATGACTGTAGTCAAATGAAACTAGGCTGGACAATTGTATTAATGGTAAAACAAAATATAGTGATTCAAACGGAAGGTTTATATGTATAATACTTATAAAAGGCGAATTTATAAATATAGAGAAAAATTGTTACTATAGAAAACTTAAACTTCATTTTGGTCCAATTGCGCAAACTTTAGTGAAGGTTTTATTACGATTTATAGCTATTAGAGCTACTTTCAATTTGTAAATTTGTATCTAATGAACCGTTTATGCAATTGGGCGAATGTCTCTTTAGCCTAATGACAATTATTAGAACATGTGCGCAACAGACAGTTAGTCAATTTCTTCAAGGTAAATAAGTTTCTGATCTTGAATCTTTGTTAGAAATAGCAGATTTTAGACCGATAAATGTTCTAATAGATTACTTTACTTTTCAATATGTAATCTTTTTTCTATAGAAATTTTTTCCTATTGGTAATTTGTCTGTCTTAACAGTATGAACTTGGACCATACCCAATATTAACTGATACAAACTTTCCTCTAGGCACTCCATCTCCACCGACTAGCGGAGTGAGTGGAGCGAGCGGTGCAACTTGCAAGAGCGGTGCGAGCGAATACGAAACCGGCGGCGGCGACGAGACCAACGAGCCAATCTGGACATCGCACTAACGTGACTTGCGATCCGCTATTAAGTTGGGCGCTTCGCCGTAGCTTTTAATTAAGGTTGATTTTAGCGACACCTCTAATAAAATTAATTTTCATAAAGGTTCAGTTTTAATGACGTGCCATCTTTTCCGTTCTCTTTATGCAAAACGGGATAGCATGCGCGATAATAAACTAATATAGATATAGTTTTGTAACTTTATATAAGTTAATTGATTTGTTTACTTATCAGTTTTTATATTGTTAATTTTAAGTTTACCTTTGAAATTTTATTTATATTTTTATCAAGATGCAAGAGTTTAATATTCGCAAATGCCGGAGGTGTCTGCATGATTAATCGCAATAATTTTTTTCTTATATTATAATTCTTAACTATATTTAATGATGATTGTATTAAATTAGTAAAATAAACTTCACGAAATTAAGCCAATTTGAACACTTGTTTAGATTATATAAAAATTGATTTTTGCTACGAGAAATATATTAAATTGTATGCAGTTGGTTTTTATAAAAATATATTCTAGTACGCCTCTTGCGAAGTTCGTCAATAATTTTTATGTGCCTACTAGAATTAGGTGATTTTAATAGAATTTTACAGTGCCTGTTAGTTAGACCGCGTAGGCTGTCCATTGCGAGAACTTTTAAAACATTTTTAAAGGGCTTTTAAAAATTTAAATCGATGTGATTTTTATAGGATTTTAGTACTTCATGAAACTAATGTTGATTTTAATCTATGCTTGTTTGATTTTAAATAATATATTGTCGATGTTATTGGAGAAATAAATGTTGGAAAATGATCGAGATTTGTTTTCAGTTTTCCAGTTGTCCCCTTTTTAACAGAACATGTTGTTTTTCCACATTATACCTTAACACATGAACACTGACCTACAGTAGAGAGAACTGCTAGAGAATTATCATAAATTAAGCAGATATTTTTACCAAGTAAAATTTCAATCGAGTAAATGTTAAGTTAGAATACTATTGTTATAAGCTATTACCCTTCTATCACTTTGTAAGGGATCTAGCATGACAACAAAGATGGATGTAATTATTTTATGGAACGAAAGTAATATTTAAACATTAAATACATAAAATATATGGTAAGATACAAGATAAAAAGGCCTCAAAGGCCGGTAGCCCCTCTGGTGTTGCAGGTGTCCATGGGCGACGGTAATCACTTACCTGCGGTCTGTCCCCTATCCCATAATAAAAAATAAAATAAAAAAAAACTTATATCATAACGTTAAAAAGAAATAGTAAAAACTTTTTTTTTATAAAAACTGTTTCCAAAATTTTTTTATAGATTAAACCATGCAAAATGAAGTTTGGAATACCATAAATAAGTGCGTTAATACGACATTAACTAAGTAATAACCAGTGGTGGGAATTAGGTAGAGTTATTCATGTACTTACACTGATTTCATACAGCGAAAGAATAAAGTGGATATGCCTCAAATCCCGAGATTAATTTTAAAGAGCAGAAAAAAAAACCCGTGATTTTTTAAATAAAAAGTTATTTACTTTTACACAATTTAAACTACGACTGTACTGCACGCACGACGTTGCCAAACTTACATCAATGAAAGAAAGAAATAAAGAAATCCCGGGAAGGTCCACATTAATATCAACATTTCGATGCAAGTACATAAATAACTCTACCTAATTCAATAACTCTACCTAATAATAACACGTGATCTGAATAACACATGAACAAAATGAATATCTAAGACATTTATCAATAAAAAAAACGGTATCTTCGCGGCTTTCTTTATTCAAATAGAAAGTTTAACAAATATAAAAAGTTAACCAGAATCAGAAGTTTTTGCTATGATTGTTCTTTGATATTACTTTGTTTTGATTTGTATTTTGTAAAATATGTGAGGGCGCATAACGCTTATTACAGTACATTGATTATAAATTTTGCTGTTTTACTCATCTCCAGATACTGCATACCTATATTTACACGTTACTGAACAATAACGTTATTGAACCATTTCTTTATTGGAGTAAATCAATAATTGACTATGTTTAGATAGAATATATGTAGCTGTCATCCGAATTTATCATCCAAGGTGTTGATATAATAAGTTACCTTTTTAAGAAAATGCTATTTTGCGTCCGGTTGTCATATTGAAAAGTTGATATTATGAGCTGAAACGCATTTTTAGTTTATTTTATTGAATTATATATTGTTCATATATAGTAAGTAAGTAGCTCGGTAGCGTAGTGAATAAACGCCGCTGCCCGCGATCGTTGACGCTAAGCAACTTTCGCAAGGGTCGGTCACGGGATGGGTGACCAAAAGATTATTATCTCGAGCTACTCCGTGCTTCGGAAGGCACGTTAAGCAGTTGGTCCCGTCTGTATTTGCAGTCGTTAATACCCTCTAATCCGCATTGGGCCAGCGTGGAGGGTCATGGCCCATCCTCCTTAACCATCCATAAGGAAGCCCTGAGCCCCTGCAGCGGGGACGTAATAGGGCTGATGATGATAGGGATTAGGCGAATGGACTATATAAATTAAACTTTCATTATCTCTGTACAGTTATTTATTTGGGTAGTATTTACATAACAATACGCGATCCCGTATTCATTATCATATCAACATATATTTTAAACTTCAAACCACTTAAGTTTATAAAGGTGTTCTGAAAATTAAATCTAAAGTAATTCGACGTCATTTAATATGAACATTTTCAAGGTTAATAAATGAATTCGTCAAATTAGCTGGCGTTCTCTTTTAAATACATACACTTTTTGAGTGGCGCCATCTATTGACAGTCAAACTAATAGAGCCGTAGTGCAGTCGCCTCTGCGGCGTTCCTCTTGGTTTTCAGCATTGGTTTTTTATGAATTACAACTGATGCAACTCAATACAATTTTCATATTACATATGTTTTTCATAAATTCAGTCAGCACTGACCCAAAACACAGTATAGCAAAACAAGTATTCTAACAGACCCACCAATTCTGATGACGACCGAAAGTATGATTTAAAAAGTCTTACTTAAACAACTGTAAGTTAAAAAATATATTGAAGTAATAGGGATGACGACTGGGTAAAAGAATGCAATTATATTTAGTCTGTCAGTTTCAGTCTTTTATGAGGAGTGGGGGCTGGCTACGTCACAGTTGAGTAGAATACTTACCATAACCTCTCACTCTACCTGACGGACAAACAAATAAAAAATTGTCGTCATCCCAATTAAATATACATTAGTTTAAAGCGACATTACCGATACAGAGTTTAAAGTTGTCATTAAACCTAAAAAGATCGTTTGAATGACAGGATGAAAAAGGGCGTGTCTCTGCTTATTTTACTTTTTATTTTTAAGTTATATTACAAAGACACCTTTAAAGAGAACCTTATAAGGTTCCTTTTGTTTTATACTTTTAAAGGCATTAACATTAGATAATTTGATGGAAATAACATAGGTATGTGGCAGTAATCTTGTTAATAACTCTTATTCTATCTAGGGAGTTAATGTTATAAAATAACTTTTAAAAAAAAATATTTCAACACTATCAGTCTTATTATAAAACGAAAACTAACTATAATACCAGGTTTTTATATGTCAACTCTTCTGTCATGAATGAATGAATGTAATGAATGTACACGAGAAAAAAATACATAACAATTAGCTATAAAAGTATTTACAGTACTAAATCGGCGGCCTTATCGCTAGAGAGCAATATCTTTCAGGCTTCGAAAGTTACGTTGGACAGTTACATAAGATTATCATTGTCAATTTGCTTCTGGCGGACAATGTTTTAAACCAAGTAACTTTGGTCGTCGTTTTATAATAAGACAGTATTCATAACTTCTTGTTAAAGCTATACATAAAATAGTACATAACGTTATAAGAGTTTTATTATCGTTACTAGTTTAATATAAAAGACAGTTTACTCCGTGTAATTGATTCTGAAACCAGTGCTGACCCAGTGTAAATTAAACAGTAAAATATAGTGTAGTCAGTTTTCGGAGCCAGGAGCCTAATTGTCTAAATTTAAAGTCTATCGCAATCCTTTTCAATTTGACATTTGAAAGATATTCACGAACTTCACGCTGCATCTATTTGACATGTGATAGCTATTGTGATCGCGACCGTTTTTTTTAAGATATTGAATAGACAATATCGTTAGTTGGAATTGTCTAAGGCAAGCGTTAGACGCAAATATTACTTTAAGATTAAGTTACGAAATTTTATTGTTTCTTGTTCATTCAAATCAGCGTTCGTTCCGAAAGTTATGGTCACTTTAAATTTTACATTATTCCATACATATCTATTATAATCGCTATGGCTATGTGCTTTGCGATAGGTTATAAAATTAGACAAGCCCATTGTACTGATGCCGGATACTGATACGTCTATTGAACCCTAGTTAACAATCTCTAACAACAAACCCACCTGTGGTGATCAGTCGAAGCTCATGCTCATATCCGAAGTGTTGGTGACGTCACCGGCGGGCGGAGAGGGGGTCGCGGGGGGCACAGAGATCTCCACCGCGGGGAACAGGAACGGTGGGATCTCCTCCTCTGTATATTTAATAAATATATTCAATGCCACCGAAAATATAACCCTCCTTTTGGATTTTGAAATTGGTTAAAAAGAATTTAGTTTTTAGGCGACTTCAAATAAGGATAAGTTGTTGATTCTACATATCTTTTTCCTCAGCAGTGTACCGCTTTTAATAATACATTTTTTTTGAAAGGGCATATCCTCAAATGGGTCTTATAAAAATATGGAATTGTAACAATTTATAATAACAGCAGATATTAAATATTATATTTGATTTGATAAAAAATTTATATGACTTAATGAAATATTTAGAGTAATTCCCAAAATATTGTTATAATAATTTAATAACTTTTAGTTTGTTTATTAATTGCACGAATTTTTTAAAAGAATCAATTAATGTGTAAATTTTAAATTATCTATAATTATACATATATATGTATAATTATAGATATGAAAATAATTACACGGGCTTTTTAATCACGTTGGA